CACCCCAGGGGGGGGGTTGCCCCCCCCGGCCGCCGCCGCCGCCCCCCGCCGCCATGTTGGGAACCGCCGCCGCCGCCGCGCGCCCCCCGTCAGCGCGTGCGGAGCGTCTGCGTCAGCGCGCACGGCGCCGCGGCCCGACCCGGCCCGGAGCGGAACCTTCGCGGCCGCCGTCGGCGGCACCGCCCGCACCGCGCGCCGCTTCCGGTCCTTCGAGCGGCCCGGCGGGAGCGGCGCCTCCGGCGGCGGTGAGCCCCGAATGGGGCCGAGCGACGGACGGGGCTGCGGGGGCTGAGCGGTGCGGCACCGCGCCGGGGATCGGCGGGAAACGTCGGGGACGGGAGCCCGAGGCCCTCGCGGTGGCCGCTCGTGTTGGGCTGCGATTACAGGGCGCGAACGGGGCTCCGGCGCCTGCTGTGGCATTTTGGCTCAAACGCCGTTTTTATTCGTTTTGGCTGTTTTTTACGCGCTCGTTCTGCGGTACGTGGCAGCGGCGCAGTGCGGGACCTGCGGGTGTTGTGGATGAAGCTTGTCGTTCTGAGGCAGGACGGGACGGCAGCGGCCGTGTGTGCCGTTTGAGTTTATTTTACAGCCGTGGGACAGCTTGCTGGTACAAACCAGGCTCCCAGAAGGGTTGCCGTGGTCACGCTGCTGTGTGCTGCGGTTCTTCCCGTCCCTCTCTCTGCACTCAGTGCTGAGGAGTGGCTCTGAGGGTCAGCAGAACCTCTCACAGATGCTGTGACCCAGCCCCGAGATGTGCACGCACTGCACCGCCTGCAGGGCCAGGCACAGAGCAAAGGGCTTGAAGCGCGTCCCTGGCTTTGGGCTTCCCTTAAGGCATTTCCTCTGCTTCCCTTCTCAGCAGACAACGGAACTCTGTTGAATTGGATCGCTGCTGCTACGTGAGAGAGAGAGGGGAACTGATAAGCCGTGCTCTCTGTTTCTCCTCAGGACACCATAGATGATGTCTCATAGAGACCTTGGACTTGGAGTGCCATCAATCCTGTTGATTGGCTCCTCCTGACAGCTTAGGGCAGTAATTTACTGTTAATACCATCATACTTGCCTACCAATGTAGTCCTATTAAAGAGGTGAAACAATATAGCTTGACTAATTTGTACTGAGACATAAGCAAAGCCAAAGAAAAATATGCTGGTCCTAACACTGCAAGGCAAATATTGGGCAGTTGCTCAGGGTTATTTTAAAAGGAATGTGTGAAGCATCTGGAGACACTGGACCCACTTGCTTTCTTTCATGAGCTGCTGTCTCCAGGTGCTAAGCGTTGACCTAATGAAGAGGTGGTAGAAGAGACAGGAGTAGTGAGGACTAAGCTACCTTTTGTGTGCACAACCTCTGTTATTGTGGCTGTAGCTCCTAAAGTGCTTGTTCCTTCACATTTAAAGAAGGGCCATATCTTTGTGTCTGCAGAAGAATACACAGTCATGTGCCACTCATCCACGTAAAGGTGATGGGAGGGCTGCTGTTCAATATGTTTGTCTTGGATAACAAACTTTACTCCACCGGAAATCAAACTCCAGATGCACAGATTGTGATCCACGGCAGCCGAGACAGCGCAGGTTCCTTTTCCAAATGCTTTCACACACCTCACCTCAGCTATAAATTAAGAGAGGAGGATTAACAAACCAAGGGATTCTTGGTGCTTTCAGTGATTGGCAGGATGCTGATGGCTAGGAGGTGATGGCCAAGCTGTTGAAGCTCTTTTCAGACGTGAAAGAAGCTCTCCGACCGTAAAAAATGAAGAATGCTCACCAGAGCGCCCAGGGAGGGTGTGCAGCATCTCAATAACTTCCATGTTCCAGACTAGCATTGAGCCATGCTGGGAACCTGCCACCAGCAGCTGGTAATCAGAACTAAGTGCCATCACTGTGATGCCTGCTGCGAGACACAAAGAGGGAAATCTGTTCCTGATGCTGCAGACAAAAAAAGAAACAATTTGAGATTGTTAATATGCTGTGCTTCCCCAACTGGAAACGCCCAACACTGCCTGAACTCCTTAGTCTGTGCCAACAGCAAGATTAGGTTCCCTCAGACATATCTAGGTCAGTGTGTGCTTTTGTTGTCCTGGCGACAAAATGACCCACTTTCTCTATTCTCATTTGTTGAAGCAACTGAGCACAAAGGCAAATAGGCCTTTATTCTGCCTTTGTGTAAACTCATGGGCAAAATGGTATTTCTAGAGAAATACATACTGTCTCCCTGCTCTATTTATTTATACTACTATTATTTGGATCTCGTTCATAACAGATGGATGATTATATGTTTTCTTGGGCTGTAGCCATCACCAGGGCTAATCCTACCTTTGAGGAATCCAGTGAGCCTTGTGTGGAGGGGCTGCCCAGGTAGGTGGAGAAATCCACACAACTGAATGAGAAGGGGTAGGGACAGATGCTGACCCAGCTGAGGCACTGCTGGCACAGCTTCCCAATCGATTCCAAGTAAGAAGGCACAAAGAAAAGCAGCCTGGCCAGCACTTCTGTGTCTATTAGACTTGTCCAAAGAGGGCAGAGATGAAAATCATTTTAGAACATGAGTGTGGTGGGCCTGAGAGCTCCCGTCATTGTGTTTTATGTGATGTACAGTTCATAATGATCTGAGCTGGCCCTGCCCAGCCGGGTCCTTCCATAAGATAGAGAGGGCTACAGTGTAGAATGTGCATGAAAATAATGGGGTGACAGGACTGAGGAAGGAGTGTGAATTCTGAGAAGACAGAAGAGCAGTGCTGCAAAACCTGCTTTTCTAATTAGTGTTCAAGCTGCTCTCTCTGTGACAGAATAAAGCTGTATGTGAAGTACAGCTCACAAATGAAGCTACAGGCGTTGCTCCTGAGCACAGCAGTGTCACCACAGTGTAACAGCTTGCAAATTCACGGAGAGAGCACCTGGTGCATTTAGCAACTTCAGGACATTTCAGCTTATTTACCTGAAAAATCTGAGCTGACAAAGACTCGGGTCAGGCTGGAGGGCTGGTGAGGAAAAGGAACCATCTTTTCATGGAGCAGATCTTAGCCGAAGTGTCTGAGCCGAAGCTCATGCTGCCCTCTGGACCTGCTGAGTTCCCAGTTGAGGCTGCTCTTTAGTCGGGAGGTGATTGATAGCAATGCATACAGTAGCAGTGCCTTGTCTCCAGACAGCTGTCTTGTCCCTTTTTTTTTTTTTTCTCCCTGGAAATCTTGGGGAAATTTCAGCTATTTTGACAGGAGCAGTAGGAAGTGGTTGACTGCACTGAGATGCATTCTGGAGCATCTCTCTGTATTTGGAGAGGACTGCTATCTCTATAGCAACTGGTGCTTGTCACCTGGTAGAATCCCCAGGGTCTTTCCTGAGGGCAGATGTGCTCCATACCAGGCGCTGTACACAGCTGAGGTGCCTTTGTTGGCTGCCTTTCTCTGTTCTAGGAATTCTCTCTGTATTTTAGATTTTTTCAGAGATTTTATTTAGCGGTGAGGATGTACCACTACTTGTTTCATAGAGAGTTTAGGCATTCAGGTATTTAAAGGAAGTTTCTTAACACCCAGGATCATGGCTATTCCCTTTCACAGTTCCCCTTTGTCAAATGGCGCAGGCAGAGATAAGAAAATAGACCTCCCAAGGAGCTGAGTTCATCGGTTTCTCTTGAAGTCAGATTGCAGAGGCTGCTGTCTATCCCTGTCTGTATCCCCTCTGTATCCCTCTGGCATACAGAGTAATAATTAAAGAAAAATTAGTAATGTGTGTTTATGTAACAGGCTCCTTTTGGACACAGTACTTGGCTGGATGTCTGTGAAGATTAATCAAGTAAGAAGAGATTAACCAACATCTTAATCTGTCATAAATCAAACAGGGAGATGAAGCCTCTTATTGCAAGAAACTAACATTACAGAAAGCCTTCATCTGGGTTTAGCCATCATCAGTCTCAATCTAAACTGTCAACTTCAGGAGTCTGAAGTGCATTTTTAGACTATTCTTCAAGCTTCTGTGATCAAAACCAGCGATGTAATGGAGGAAAATGTCAGCTCCATTAAGGTTGCTTAAAATATACCATGCTGGAGAGGTGACAGCAGACACAGTCTGGAGGATGAGGGTGATCAGTGCCATCCAGGCAAACCAAGAATGGAAGATAGCGACAGAGAAATATGTAATAATGCTTTTGTTCTATCAACATCAAAACAACTCTGGAGCCTTGGGATGAGCCTTGGCAGCACTCTGCAATCTGTCGTAGTATTGATGACAGCAGTCCTCGCCACCAACAAATCCACTGATTCAAGCAGTTGGTTACAGTTGGAGCAGAAGTCCCCGGTTAGCAGACATTTTTGGAAAGTCGAGATTGCCAGCATCACTGAGAAGAATCGAGGACTGGGCTAATTGGAGGAGAAACAGCTTGCTTGCTGTAGGAATGCAGCGTGTTACTTTCTGGTGAGCAGGGAGTTTCTGCAATTTGCAAATCAAAACCAAACAAAATCAACCAACCAAATCTTTTCCAGGGCCATTCTGAATTTCCTTAGGCTATAAAAACATTTAAGCCTCCAAACATATCAGACCTGTTTTCCTGCATTCCACGTCTACAGCTTACCTGTATCCTAAAGGTAAGATGAAATCACTATCTCATACTGATTCTTCCTAAAGTATTTCAGTTGCAGGCTCTCTAAAAATCCTCCCTGCATTCTCTTTCAGAACATAAAGGAAACAGATAAGTGTCAAGAAACCCTTAGTGGTACTTCTTCCTTGGAGAATGTGTGAAAAATGTAAATGCTGGGCACGTGTGAATGAGAGGCCAGACTCAAAGCTGTTGTTGAATGTTGATCTTAACACTATCAGAGTGATAAACTTCTCTTCTTTGTCAGAAATGTCGCCTCAGAGGTGAGGTGAGTAGCAGCTGTGAGTCACAGTGGCACTGCAGGCTGGGGATGGGAACTTGTTTTCTCAGTGTTGGTGAGCTGCCATCCCCCACGGCCCCTCAGGCTGCTGTCTGCATGGAGCAGCAGGCAGGACTGAACTCAGCTGGGAGTAGTTTTGTGTGTGCCTACCGAGGGAGGGCTGCACTTCTGGTTTCTGTTGAAATCCAAACCCATTTTATTAGCTTTTCCTTACAGAACAACACGAACACAAGTCCCTCCAGCTTGGCCCTCTGTTGGCCTTGCCCTTTTTCAAACGAGGTCTTTACGTAGAAGTTTTCTCCTTTGGTCTCTCAGGTCCTTTACTGTTAATAATAATAATCTACATTTCCTATGGTTTTTTTTCATTATTATTATTTCTTTTCTACAAAGGCTTTAAGAGCAGTAGAGCTTTCCCTGTCTGCAGAGCTAATTTGCAATGCTGAAAGCTGTAGAGGCTGGTTTGGCTTCTGTCTGCAAAAGAAAAGGGAAACCTGTCAATCAGCAAGAAATGCTGAGAGCAGCAAATGAAACACTTTGCTTTTTCCATTGGGCAACTACGGCCTCTCTCAGGATTAAATCTCTTGCTAAGTTTAGCTACGTCTCACTAGAGTTAGTATCAGGAGTTATCTGAAGGCAATGACGTCTGTCCTGTGGAAGTCTAAGCCCTGGCACGCACATCTCATACCCTGCGCTGCAGCAGCTTGGAGCTGGGAACATTCTGCACAGCATGGCATGCTTCAGACGTGGCAGGGTTTCTCAAAGCATTGAAATATATACTCTCAGCTGCCTGCTCTTTTTATTATTCTGTCCAAGTCCTGAGCAAAACTTGTTGAAATGGATGTCATGGGACAGCAGAATGGCTAAGTGATGTGAAACATTCTGCTGTTTTTTTGTTGTTGTTCTTAATATGTGTAAGACTTGCACAGACCCTCTTTTCTATTGGTATTAAATCTCACATTCCAAAGGAACTTAAATTCTCAGCTGTTCTGGTAAGGAGTACTAATTAACATTTTCAGAGTTAGATTTGAGGAGACATAAGAGAAACCCATCAAAAATCAATAGCTCTTTGCAGGTCCTCATTGAGTCATCCAGGCAGGGAGCTCCTTTGCTCTTTGTGGCAGGGAAGCAAGTTAATTAACCTGCTGGGAAATGCCCAGCTCATGTTCTCCTTCCAGCTGGAGAGAGCCTTCAGGAAGCAGCACCAACAGGCAACTGAGAGCTTCCCAGATGCATAGAAGCTGTACTGAAGCCTGTGCCCCTACAGCATTAGTTAAAAAGAAGGTACCTCTGAAAGAAACATCTTTGCTAGCTGGAATGAAGAAGGCTTGCCTGAAATGTACTGTAGGTTACCAGTGCTGAGCCGTGGAAATTCAAGAAAGGTTCCTTATCTCTCACTATAAAAGGCTCCACTAAATGAAAGTTGCGACCTCTCTTTGTGGCAGTTGTCTTCTTGATACTAATCACATTCCAGATAAAGAACCTTAAAGGTGCAGAGCTTTAATTTTAAGGTATCTCAGAATATTTCTCCTATCTGTTCTTACTTAGCAGCTATGATTTTACTTGACCAGAAGTATTTTGAAGAGCAAAGGCTTTGGCGCTCAGCAGCAGCTGATAGCAGCACTGTGCTAGACCACGGAATGCTTGGACTGGAAAGGATCTCAAAGCCCACCTGGCCCCACGCCCTGCTGTGCATTGGTTGCCACTCACCAGGTAAGGCTGCCCATTCCTCAAGCACGTCCAGGTCCCATTCATTCAAAGCATTTTTGGTGGTTTGTTTGTTTGTTTCTTTCTTTCTTTGTTTTAAATACAAATACTGAAACTCCATATAGATAAGCTAGAATTGTGTTTGTCTGCAGATTTATACATACCTGTCACAAGTGATGACCTTCATTTTTTAGTCACAAAAGGAAAGGTGGACTCAACAGGTACAAAACGTTCCCCTTTGGCCTTTATAAGTCAGTTTCTTTATATCCCTCCCTGAAGTCTTAGAAAAGCTACTTGGACAACAAGAGCAGTGATATTTTACCATACTGCTTCCGACTCTAACATGCTCAGACATACTTGTAGGACATGTCAAAGTCCAACCAGAATCACTTTGTCCTTGGGTCAAGGAGGCTTCAACAAGATCAAGGAAGGTGTGACTTCTAAGACCGGCGAGAGTAAAAGCAGCAAACATCAGTTCCTCAAATGCCATTGGACAATCAGAGTCACTTCACAATTTTTATTTTGTTAAGGGCTTTTATATAACAAATTTCCCCTTGAATCAGACATCTCATAAACCATTCTTTATATGCATGTCAGTGATACACCAGGTTTTTGTAGACCAGTATTTGCAAAACCAGACTGTTGTCAGGTAGAAGCTGTTTTCTTCTGAGGGAAACTCACAAAGTTAAGGCACTTTAAGAACCCAAACCTACGAATCATTTGACCTCTTACTGGCTTTTATCTGGTTGTATACAATAATTCTTTTTTCCAAAATTAATATCAGTTTCAATTCTGGAATAGGGACACACATCAAAAAAAAACCAACAAAACAACAACCAAGCAATGACTGTTCTTAAATCCTTCAATTTCTATTCCTCATTGCAAGGTGACAGCAGCAAGCCTTATTGCTAGGGATGGTGACACACTGCTTAGCTGAAAGCCCAGTACTCCACCCCCAAGCATACTTTTAGCACTGCAGTGATCCTGGCCATCAGTGATAAAAACACACCTCAGAATGAGTTAAGGTCTCCAGGGCACAATGCTTAAGATGACACTTTTAAGAACAAAATCTGTTACAGGAACAGCTTCAAACTAATCTAAAAGCCAGTATTCATTAAGCAGAACATGAACAAGCTGACTGACTGCTCCGAGCCATGCAAGGCATTTCACATTCTCCCTCCCTCATTGGGCACAGATCAGTAGTTTGGCAAAAAGGGACCTACAAAGGAAACTCTGTTTCTTAAGCTGGCACTCTCTTATTAGTCCATTAAAGTACTTCTAATCAGCTGGTGTGAAATCTATTTCTTCAGCCTTTCTAACCTTCTTTAAGAATATAAGAAACGTTTCCTCCTGTGTACAGTCGGTGTTCAGGCTGCCCACCAGCACACCAAAGTCACTGCTTCAAGCACAGCCCGGACTTAGAAGTATCCAATTCTCCTGATGTAAAGATGCAAAGATTTAAAAAGCAGTTTCAGGTCCATTAATTAGGTGCCCTGACAGTTATAAATAAATAGTAATAAATACTTATTTACACTCACATACCCTTCTTATATCCCACAGGATTACAAACAAACCAAAAACATGCTTCTTTCTCAAGTAAAGACAATCAGGTTTGAGGTGAAACACACAATTGCTAACAGAGCATCAACACTACAAAACAGTTTAAAATAATAACAGTACCAATAGATAGCATTTAAGAGCATTTTACAGCTTCAAGGGTCCTGCAAACAAAGTCTTAGTTAAGAAAGTGACCATTCATTAAGAATCAGAGGGAACTTGGATGAGAAAAATGTAATTTCAGAGTAGAATTTGGCCAGGACACCAGAGCTGTTTTCCTTATTGTGTACAGAATATCATGTTATTTGGAGACATGGCAGATGCAGGAGCTGGGAAAAATAGATCAGGATTGTAACAGACCATTTAATTTCCTCAAGCATGAAATCCAATTTCCACATTGATTGTGTCTAAACAGTTTGTTGTTCTGGGGGACATCAAAAAGGCCAATGAAAACTCACAGGAACAGTTGTGGGAGCACAGACCATTACTTCCATTCATAAATAAACACAGTGAAAGATGATGCATCATAATTGCTGACATAATTGCCAGCTGGGAACTGGCACCCATTTATCATCCTGGCATAAATCTATGAATCCCTGAAAATATGATCAGAATAGAGAGATAGAGACCAAGAAGCAAGGAGCAGCACAGAGAGCACAACTGAACTTCAGGGAATTGCCTGGCAGTGTCTTCACTTCCACCTCTCCTCTGAAGTCCGTGAGAGGACTGGAGGATAAAGGAGACTGCAGGCGGCTTTGAGACACAGCTCTGGAGGAATTTTCTTGGCCTGTTTAGTGTTTGGTTGCTTTTTTATTCAGCTTTTTTTGCTTTTCGTTTCCTTGTGCCTTCATTTAGCTCCTCTTTTGACTTCACAGGAGGAGGTGGCTGATAGGAAGCCTCGTGGGAGTGCCCATGCTGATTATGATGGCCAGTGTGTCCGCCAGAAACAGAGCCAAAGAAAACTGGGCAGATGAAGCCTTCCACTGGAGCAAAAGGTGAGGCGTGAGAATGAGTTGCCGTCATGAAAACCTGCCATGCAACAGTGGACAGTTAAAGACCACATACACCAGCTATGAAGAACTAACTAGTAAAGGACATCCTACTTAGCACAGGTAAGTGTCCCTGTTGCTATGTAATCCAAGGCTGTATCACAAGGATCTTCTACCACACTGAAAATGACATGGAGAATTTAGCCTGCAGTTTCCTAAGCAGATCTTTCCTGGTACGTACAGCCAATGCCTTCCAAAGTGGCTTAGTAAGGTTATCAAATCTAGATGCAAGAATTAGTCCTACTATTTCATTAATGCTGTGCAGAGTACTTCATTCTCAGCACTAGCTCTCCTGAAAATAACACTTCCAGGTTTTCATTTCATTGTGAAGTTAATCATGCAAGAATTCTGCATGGGCAAACACTGGCATCTACAAGGAAAATTAGGATCACTGGAACCCACTGAACAAGAAAGGAAGCAGCATTTCAAAGTCAGTGTTTTAATTTAAAATGGTGAACAGTCAGCGCCCTCTTAATTCTGTACCCTTTTTCTGGTTCTGTAGATTTGTTAGCAGCAGATCTGCTGTAAACTTACCTTGCAAACTATCATAAACATGGTGAAAAAGAAGATGAGGTTGGCTTCAGAGACAGGGAGCCAATGAGTTTGTTGCAAAGTGAAAAGAACTGTGCCATACAGACTGGCTTTTGTAGGGCTAGAAGAGAAATAAAGAACTTATCTGGAAGGTTTGTATACTTTGTGTCCAGTCCCGAATGGCTCTTTAAATTTTGTTTTCAGTCTGACATAGAACATGCAGGCTAGTTACTTACAAAGACATGTGAAGAATTTCATTTGTTTCTGGCCTCCAGACCCCACGCAGCAGTTGCTCAAAGTTAGACATCAAAGCAACACCAGAACCTGTGGAACAGTAAAAGCAAACAGCTAGAACTGCCACACCAGAAGAGAGCTCTGCTGGCTCCTTTAGATCCCCACAGGATAAGCACAATATAAAGGGAAGGTTTGTGACATCCACCCCAAAATTAAAATACAGTTACCCTAAAACAACAGAGCAGGCAAATGCTTTCTAGAGCTCTATAGTGTTTCCTGATACTGGAAAAAGGCATTCGCCTCTGTTCCATCAACTGATGCACAAATGCTTACTGCAATTACAAAACAAGGGGAAACTGACTAGACTGTTTCAACACTGAAAGAACTTCCTAAAAAGACACAGGCAAGGACAGAGACAGTAGAACATGGGAGATGATAAAGAGTTACTGAACTCTGCACCCGTAAGTGGCTCCCAGTTCTTCATGTCTCCGATGACTCAGTTGACAGCCATTCTGTGAGTATGAATAAATCTGTGTTCTAAGGAATGTGATTAACTGGGGCCAGCTGAACACATCCACTATCTGGCCTGGTCAGCACTGAGTGATGTGGTGACCTTAGGCTCCATTTGCAGGTTCTCCCCTCCCTCCCCACAGCAGTAGGTGCAGTGGAGTATCCCAGGTGTCACCTTTGACCCATCCAGTGGCCATCATGATGAACCAGCCGTGGTGGTACTGGTGATGAGCGTGGTGGACGCCGGCCGCAATTTTGCGAACTCTGACCACCTCCTTCATAGCCACAAAGATGAGCTTCACAGGCAGAAAGCTAACACACTTGTAGAAGAGGTTCATGGGGCAGAAGAATATCAAATACCTGGAACAAAACCACAAGGAGCTTAAGGACCCATTTGTTTATCTTGACCTGGGATTAAGAGAGAAGATAAAGAGTACTGTATAGTTAGCCTAAGTTATGTCAGAGAAAAGGAAACGCTGGTAAGGTCACCTACAAGCACCCAAAATGAAAATGTCCCCAAATCTTCAGTCCGTGCCACCCTTCTGCTGTGTGCTGTCAGTGCAGCACGCTGATTCTGCGGTTTGGCCACAGTTCAGCTGTGGCAGCTATGAATAGAATCGTCCTGCAGAGGGTTGGTTCCCACTCCTATTACCAACACATCAGACAGCTGGTCAGAGAAACTGCAAACTAGATCTAGAAATACAAAAGACTCAGACTGCTTCATTGCACCTCTGCTTTCCCCAGCAAATCCAAACAAGACGGTACACGTGTCCCACAGATGGAATACCTCCCTTCATGCAGGGAGGTCCTGCACACAGCCAGCAGTATTGAGTGCTCGGCAGCTGAGGAGAACTCACCAGATTGCTGTGGCCAGGATGACACTGGAGTTGTTACTGAAGTAATGAATAGGTGACTCTCCGAGCAGCAGATCAGCGAGGATGTAACTTCCAAAGCAGTGGAGCATGGCACAAAGCCAGGAGGCAAAAGGACTCTTGCGAGACATCTCCACAGCTCCTGTGAGTAAATTTTAAGTGAGAAGGTGCATTCACCAAAGAGCTAAGAAAGACACTTGCTTTCAACGTGCTCCAACAGGAATTGAATCAAAGAAAAGAGCTTGTAAAATAAAATGGCCAAACACACACTCTGCAAAGCCTAAACAAGCATCATAGTTGAGACACACAGCCTGCAGACCCCCACAAGGTTTCATATGAATGGAGCCATTAGAAGTTTAGCTCCTGCGTTTGCTGCTCCTACTGCAATCAGAAAGAACAATTCTGCCCTCAAAATAAATGCTTTTTTTTTTTTAGTCTTAAAACAAAATGCATACTAGTACCAGTCTCTCCATTGCTTCAACCTAGGTGCCCTCTAGAATTCATGAGCAATCTGTTCAGCTCTTTCATTCATAAGATAACCTGTAAAATAGAACAGTAATTCTTAATCTTTATATGAATGAAGGGGATTTGAGGATTCCTCACTGCTACTGCGGTGGTTTGCAAACGCCCTTCAAGTTCAGAAAATACAACTAGGTATTTAAACTGTGTTACTGTTGGGGAATACAGTGTGGTTTCTTCCACAGCCTCCCACTGCCTGGGGGTTTTGCTTGCTGTTTGATTCCTCTCCCATTTTCACCCCCTGCTGCGCTTCTTGGAGGAAGTTTCATAAGAACATCAGTTCTGTAAGATTGTTTCCTCTCCTTAAACTGATAGCAGGGTCCTTTATGCAGTGTATCAGATACCAAACTCTGCTACACCAGTAACGAGCAGATAAATAATGCTGAAATGTTACATCCACATTACGGACAGTCATCCACCTTGAGCAGCAGTAAGTGAGCTAAATAGGACTGCTGATACCATTCCATCCCCACCGACATCTGAACCAGCTGAAGGGACAGTGGAAGTGAGACAGCTGCAACAGCCATGATGTGAAGCTCATCTATAGGAACCCAACAGTTATCTGAAGGAGGAAAGTTATGGACATTTTTCTTTGGCTCCATTAAGGCTCGCTGTCTTCTAAGAAGGAAAGGGGACGTTACCACCCTGACCCTCATCTGCCATGTGGGAGCCAGGCGAGAAGCTCACTGCAGCCTTAGGCAGTCTGAAGGGATTACGGGGTGACATGTTTGGAAGAGAAAATATCTTCACTGGGGTTGGCTGTTACTGCACGGCTCAGAACTTAATGCTGGAAGACAGCTGTAAGGGATCAGGCCTCGAAAACGCGGCACTCCTGTTTACAGGGAGCTGAAATAGAACAGTATGCTGCTGCTTGTACAGCGCAGCAATCTGACAACGGGGGGACTCCAAAACGTGGCACAGCGGATGGCTTTGCCTCATCCGGCGGGCAGCGACACCGAAACCGATCGACAGAGCACAGAGAGCGCACACCGTGTAAAAACAGCGGGGAAGGCGGCGTTCGGCGGGGACCGAGGCACAGACAGGTGGCAGAGCCGGCGGCAGCCACCCGGGTACGGAGAGCTGCGAGCAGCGAGAGCGGGACCGAGGGGGGACGAACGAGGAACACAAGACGAGCGTTCAGCTGCGGCTTCTCCGAATATAAACAGGGGAGCGCGGCCACAAAAATAGAACAGGCGACAATGGAGAGAAACGGAACACCGAGCGCGGGCAGAGCAGCGGCGACGGGAGCTCGGCACGGGGCGGTCAGAACCCGGCACGGGGCGGTCAGAACCCGGCACGGGCAGAAGGCGCGGCTGTGGCAGCTCCGGCGGATCCCCCCGCGCCCCGCAGCGCTGGTCCGCACTGACCTGGCTCGTACTTGAGGTAGAGGACGGACACGATGAAGTAAGCAGCGTCGAAGAGCGGGAAGACGGGCACCGAGGCGAAGGCGGCCGCCAGCTCGCCCAGCTGCAGAGCCCCGGGCAGCTCCATGGCCGTAGGACCGCTCCGCGAGCCGTGCTCCCCGCCGTGCTCCCCGCTCCCCGCCTCCGCACGGCCGCCCCGCCCCGAGGGTTGTCCCGGGGCGCGGCCTCGCTCCTAGCGGGCGGCCTCGAGCTCCGGGCGGCGGCCCCTCGAGGAGCGGCGCTTCCCGCCCGCGCGGTTCCCCGCCGCGCCGTGCAGCCGCCGTCGGAACGCAAAGCCGCAGCCCCGGGTTCGGCGCGGACGCTTCGGAGCCGGCGGTGGGAGGTGCGCGCCGGGACCGCGCATGCGCCGCGACCGCGGGCAGAGTGCCCGCCTCTTCCGCTTCCGGCGCCAGGACCGCCGCCATGCTGGGCGATCTGCTGCTCTGCGGGTAGCGGGCCGGGCCCGGGGGCGGGGAGGGCTGCTGGGGACCGGCCGCGTCTGATGCGCTCTCTCTGTCTCTCCTCAGAACGCTGCTGGTGAACGCCGGCGCCGTGCTGAACTTCAGACTGTGAGCGGGGATCGGGGCGGGGAGGGCGGCGTGGGAGCCCCGGGAGCCCCGGGCCCGGCGCTTTGCGCGGTAACGGCGCTTCTGTTCCCGCAGGAGGAGGAGAGACACGGAGGGCTTCGGCGAGGGGGCGAGGGAGCCCACGACCGGTAACAGCCCGTGGGGGGGGGGGGGGGGAGAGGGGGGAAGATTGGGGGCCCGAGGGCCCCGGGGGGGGCCGAGCGGCTCTGCAGTGCCCTCCGTGCGTGAATTTTGTTCTCTGACTCTTTTTGCACGTCTGCATTCCCTTATATTTCTTAGCTAGTGCTGAAACGCGACGCGCTGCGGCGTTGGGTATTTTTCAAGTCTAAGATTTCTCCTCTTGGCTTTTAGGTGACAATATCAGGGAGTTCTTGCTGAGTCTTAGGTATTTCCGAATCTTCATTGCCTTGTGGAATGTCTTCATGATGTTCTGCATGATTGTGTAAGTAGAGCCGTGCAGCACCTGGCATTTGTTCGTCTGAAGCCACATAATGTTGGTTTTTTCTTGTAAGTGTATTTCTTTTCTGATCTCTCTCCCAACTCCTTGCACTCTTGTTCCATCACTAGGCTCTCATTTTGCTCATCTGCTTTGATCTTCCTAAAAATAGTGGCTCACCTCATTTTCTGCCAGTGCAGGCACCTTTAGTGCATGAGAACCTCTTGACAATGTGCAATTGTTTTAGGCTTGGATATGACATCATTTAATTCAGCGCCTATAAACGCAACACAGTGTAAATTTTAGGATGATTTTCATTTGGGGAGGGAAATAATGCCACATAATAAAGCGAGCCATGGGAACAGGCTCTGGAAACTCTGGATTGTAGTTCAGATAGGCAGACTGGCAAAATTCCTGTTTTCTTTTTGCTGCTGTAGCCCTTTGGCCCAATGTATGGCAGAGGAAAACCAATAGCAGCGGTGCAGTGGTGTTCTGAGCTGCAGTGCTGGTGTGGCTGTTATGCTATAGGTCTCTTATCTGCTCTTTTTCTGTTGCATCCACCAGGTTATTTGGATCTTGAAAGTCATCCACAAACACATCTGGTAACCTGGAAGAGACTTTTGGCTGCAGACATAACTTTTCTATCAAGTAAAAGATTATAATGCTTTCCACATACAGCCCTGGGGTTGTGGCAGGTTCTTTCCATGGGGCAGCACAGCACACAGCTCCCCCCAAACCCCCGGCTGCATAACGTGGGGGGAGTGCATGGCTGCATGCTGCAGGGCGGGGAGCCTCCCAGCCCCTGAGCCAAAGGCTTCAAAGTAAAATAATTTCAACTTCACTGGGAGGAGAAAAAGGAAAAAAAAAAAAAAAGCCAACTTGAAATTGTGTTGCTCAGCATTGGGTGCCTGATGTGCAGCACATTGCAGCTGACTGAAAGCCACAGTCGTGCAGCTCTGCGCCGTCCTCGCTCCATCCCTGCTGTCACTGCACTGTGGGTCGCGTGGAAATCACTTTATTATTGTGAAGCTGAGTAAAGTATTGATGTAACTTGGAAAAAAGAAGTCATTTTTCCCTCACGATTCCATTTTTCTTTGGAGAAGTAGATACGGACACCTCAAAAAAGGATTCTCACTTTTTTTCTCCCAATAAATTCATGTTTAGATACAAATTTCAATATAAGGTTTTTTTTCCTAAGCAATACATAAAGGACTTTGAACAGAAAAATATCTGTAATCCTGAGGAAGTTTTGGAATCATTTTGAATTTGGTTGAATAAAAAAGTTCTATTTAAGGGTAAATTTAATGTTGTGTTTATTCCAGTAAGGAGAAATTAATTCAATATTGGAGTTTTTTTGAGAGATTTTAAGTAGGTTGTAACTTCCAGTAACTTGTAAACCCAGCTTTTTGTGCTATTCTTTAATGTTAAATCAGTGTTTGGGGCCGGTGACCTTCCCTAGTAATGAACATAGAATACACGGGTAAGAGTCCTTCAGCTGGGTTTGTGCTGCGCGGAAATACTTTACGGGCCTTTAAATTTAACCTTAATTCACATCTTGCATGCGATTTCTGTGGTTTTTATATTTCACGTCCATATGTTTGTATTAGCAATAGCAGCGCTGCCCAGCCGGGCGGCCCCGTCCGCAGCTCCGCGTTGCGGCTCTCCGTCCAAGAGTGGGGGCGGGGCGGGGCGGGGCGGGCGATGCCGGAGCTCCGGGCCGGCGGCTCCTACGGGGGCACGGCCAGCTTTTCCCGCTGACGGCCGCCGTGCCGCACCGCGAGCCGAAAGCGATACCGCAAAACAGCGCGCGGGACGGAACCGCCGAGGAGCGGCCGCGTGAAGAGGCGCGGGTTGTTTCCGCGCCCGATGAAGATGCGGACGGAGCCGCGCTCCCTTCCGCACCGCTCCGCTCGGGCTGCGGCCGCTCCGCCCCGTCCCGGCCCTCGCATCGCTCCGGACGCCCGTCGGCCGTTCCCTCCATAAGGCCGCCCCGGGGCACCGGCCCCGTTTAGACCGCAGCCGGAGGCAGAACCGCAGCACGGCGGCGCTCCGGGTCCGGCCCCTGCCACGCTCCTTCAGTCCCCCGCCCGACCCCGCAGCTCCTCGCGCGCCGCGCCGCCACCCGCGCACGCGCGGCCTCCCCGACCCCCCACCTCCCGTCACGGTGCCCGCCGCGCACGCGCAGTTCGTGTCTGCTGCTGCGTGCGGAGGGACGTCAGGGGCGCGCCGTGCGTAACGGCGTCGGGCGTGTCCCATGGTGCCCTGCGCGGGGCTGGCTCCTGCCCACAGTTGAGTTCGGCCCCGAGCGGAGCAGTCGGGCCCGGCCCGGTCGCGCCGCCGCGGTTCCTCCGCGTCCCGCTCCGAGCGCCGCCGCCCCCGCTCCGCGGGGAGCGAACATGCGACTCCGGCTCCCCGAGGAGGCCGCCGCCGCCGGCGAGTGAGGAGCCGCCGCCCCGGCCCGGCCCGGCCCCGCCGCCCGCCCGCCCCGGCCGCGGCCGCCCCGCTTCGCCCAGGCAATGACAGCGGCTCCGGCCCCCTCCCCGCAGCAGATCAGGGACCGGCTGCTGCAGGCCATCGACCCGCAGAGCAACGTGAGTACGGCCCGCCGGGCCCGAGGCTCCCCGACTGGCGGCGCGGGGACGCTGAGCTCCGGCCGCCCTCCGGCCCCGCCGCCGCCCGCTGAGGGAACGCCGGGAGCCGCCGCCTCTTCTCCTGCCGGGACCGCGGCTCGACGCGTTCCAGCCCGGGCACCGGAAGCCTCCGCTGCGGGCGGTAGCGGGCAGCTCCCGGCTCCGTGCTGCCCCCGGTCCGGCTCCCGGCGGCTCCGCTCCGTCCGCGGGGCTCGGCGGTTTCTCCCCCTGTCCCCTTGGGCCGCGTTCCCCCTTTCCCCTCCCCCGCCCCGCGCCGTCTCTCGGCGCCGTCCGGCTCTACCCGGCCATGCGGCGCGCGGCCCGGCGGCCTCCCCACGCCAGGCCGCGGCTCGGGCGCGGCCTGCAGGGGGCTCTGGGCCGGGCTGCGGAGCCTCGCGGGGCGCCCACCTGTTCCGCGGCCCCTCTGCCGCCCCCCGCCGCGGACGTTGGGCCCGGGGCCGCCCCTGCGTTCGGGGGTCTCCCGGAGGGCTTCGAAGGTGGATCCGGGGCGCTGGAGCGGCTCCGGCAGCGGGCGGCCTCGGTCTTCGCTTTTATCCTTCCCTGCAGAGCGCTAATGAGCTTATCTGCTCCTTCTGGGATGTAGAGTAAGCACGGGAGTCGGCGTAGATTTTACCAGTAAGTGGTCTTCGTGTGTAAGCTGTGGTTATCCAAAATGTTATTTACTCCTTTTAAGGTTTTTTGGCTTATTAAAGCAGCTCTTCATATCAGTGTTTATTATGGTGAGAGGGCTGCAGGGTCTGCAGTCCGCCAGATTTCTTCAGCCTTAGATCGACGTCTGCATGGCAGCACTCAGAGCTGCGCTGCTCCTGGCCGTCTGCAGTCTGTCGTGGGGCAGCAGGGTGAGTCAGGCTGCAGCGTGCTGTGCTGCACCAGCACTGCCAGGTGGGCTCTGGGTCCCATCACAGTTGTGCCTGCTTCTCTCTGAGCAAATCTCTCCCGTAGCAGGCTGGTGTTGGTGTTCTCAGAGTAGCTGATGAAGTTCTGGCCATTTGGAAGCATCCTGTAGCGCCGTGCAAGCGATGTGAAAACTGAAAGAAAAACCACCCTGTGACAACCTGCTGTGATACACGTTTGTCACGAGCTGCAGTGTTACCAGCTTGAGCAACAGTAATGAATGATGATGGTGGGCTTTCAAATCTCACCATTGTTGGAGTTTGCAGTCCTTTAACTTGGTTGACACTGAAACATTGCTTCATGAGTTCTGTTTGCTCTGGGCCTTCTTCTTGTGGCCACAGATTTTTCATTTTACCTTGCTCTGAGCATCAGCCCAGTTAAACACAATTCTAATAGAGCTGTGGTTTCTTGTAACTTTGGACCTGCTGACTCTGGTTGCCCTGCTTCTGGGGTTACTTTCTAAAACATTGTAGCTGTGTAGGGTTAAGGAGCTAAGAATTATGTTTTGTGATGAATGTGCTTTGTCCATATGCGGTGTCAGGTTGTGCTGTGGTGGTGGGATGGGGCAGCAGCTCTGCTGGGGAGGTCTGAGCATCAGGCAATGTTCTGCTGGGCCGCCAGGAGGTCAGTAGCCCCATAAGCTTAGCAGCAATGTATGTTAAATTATAATTCTACATACTTGATACTTATCCAGGGCAATAATTAGCGGCGGAAAAATCAGCCCATTGTTCAGAAATGCCTGTAGGCAGGGGGCTGTCTTCCATTTTAACCTCTTCTTTGAATGAGAGCAGCAGTGGTGGAGTTGAGGTTCAGCATACAGACTTGGACTTTTTTTCCAACACGTGGTGAACAGTAGATGGACAGACAGAACTATCTGCTGTGCTGTTTTTGTGAAGGGAAGAAAAATTTGAGTTTTGAACACTCTTAAAAGCAAACTGTAACTTAAATCTGACCCGATCTCCAATGCAGAAGTACAAGAAGCTGCTCTGTTGTCTTCCCACAGGATGCAGTCATGCAGCTCTGAGCTGCAGCACTTCTTGGTGCTCAGGGAAAGTTGTGGCTGCTTTCTTCTGGCTTCTGGAGTCTTTTCTTGAAAGAAGTGGTTGCGTTCAAACTTAGAGCATTCATTATTGTGATTGACTTCCTTGTTTACTAAGAAAGAAGCTTTGAGGCCTGAGTTTCTTTTGGACTTTTCGATGTAATTGTTGGTGTGGGTACGTGTGTGTTTCTGGAGAGGAGGGGGGTGGAAACACCAAATTCTTGCAGCAGAGGGATCTGTTTGGTGGGGCTGAGGAGGGGATGTGCTTCTCATCATGCTTTGCTGCGAGGTGCTGTTAACTTCAGCTTTGCTGATATCATCCCCAACACAACCCGCTTCAGCCGCGTGGATATTCAGTCCAGCAGGCCTATGGAGGTCTTTGTGGTATGAGCAAATCTTGGATAAGTCTGAGGTCCTGTCGGAGAAGGTCCCTTCCTGTGGTGAGTTTGACAGGATGGCTTTTCCTCAGGTTGTTGGAACCCATGTGCTTTCAGAAGCTGTTGTCTATTCCAATTGTTGATCTGTTTTAATCTCTGCCTGAAGCCCTGCTCACTCCAGAGCGTTGCTTACACTGTACACACATTTAGCACTTGAGACCACTTCTAGTACTTGCTGCAGAATGTATGTATAACTTATTTTCACACACCTAGTTCACTATTTGTATGAGTAACCTCTATTTCAAAGGAGACCTGTAAGAAATGAGCTATCTAAAAAAAATTACATCATCTTGGAAGCCACCTGGGATGTCTGCTGTTATTTCTCCATTTATTCAGCCTTTTCCCCTTGAAAAAACATGGACAAACTACTTCTGCTCCATGACTTACAGCCCACATATCAGCACGGGGTCAGTGGGACGGGCCCAGCAGGGAGCTGGGTGTTGTACCCCCAGCAGGGCAGTGTGGTTCCTGCAGGGAAATCCTCCTCCTGGGAGCATTTCTTGGACACTGTAGCTGGAGAAGCATCATGACGGCCTCTTGTAGCTGTGTGGGCTCTTAGGGGAGAGGGGTTCCTGATTCTGGTAGAAGCAGTGCTTTTCTGTTTGGGTTTGCTGTGCTGAGAAGGCACCCGTTGTACCAAGCTGAGCCCCTCTGTGGGGTGAAGGCACTCCGGCCCCATCAGGGAGTGTGGTGGGAAAGGCTGTTAGAACTGTGTTCACAATTAATGGGTCCTCAGCCTGAATGCGTAGCAACCTTTGTATTTGGAATATCAGACAATAATTTACTTATTTGCTGTTAATAGCGCTCTGAGGTGTGAGCCCAGCTCTGGTCTGAGGTCACCGCCTCTCGGATGCTCGCTGTGTGGGTCGGGCTGCCTGCAGACCAGGCTGCCGTGCACACTGAGCTTCATGGTTTGCTGCTTGGCCTCCAGCAGAAGTCTGCAGTCCAAAACATTAATGATGAATTGGTCTGTGCACTGCGTTACGTTTGCCAGAGTGTTGGGTGATCTTCCAGTCTTATGGTTAGCGGTGCTTCCGTGCTGTTTCCTGGGTTGGTTGGTTTACCAAAGTCCAGGCACAAAAGCATCAGTGAGATCTGCTTTCTAGAGCTGATGTTAAAAGGAAGGGGAGCTTGTTCCAAATAGACTGTGCCAGACACAGCTCTAATAATATCAGTGCTGGGGGTGAAGGAGGGCAGCGCTTTGCTTTGGGAGGGTCTTGGTAATTTCTGGAGATGCAGGGAAGTGTTGTGTGGGCGAAAGTAGGCATGGCTTTTGCTTCAGCTTTATCCGTTTCTGTGAGGCCCTTAATGAGCTTATCAGTTTTGAGGAAGCTGTGGTGTGCAAAGAGGATGGAACCTGCTGTAGCTCTTGTTGGTTTTTGTCTGCTTCTTGAGTGTTTCAATCAAATCCCAGCCCTGCTCTGTGCCTTGGTGGCTGATTGCTTCAGGTGTGTGGGGAAACTGCAGATGGCTGTGGCGTTTCTTAGCCTGGAGTCCTGGCTGCTGGGGGAGGTCAGGTGGCTGCAGGTAGGAGTCCTGCTGTGTTTCACTGTGTTCTGCTTCTTAATGCTCTGTATTGTCAGCAGCTGAGTTTGTTTGAACCCACTGCTTTAAGGGTGGTGATGCTGCTGGTTTTTCGGCCTCTCTCTCCTGTCTTACTGCTCATCTTGTTCCAAAACAGCTTGCAAATTAATTAGTAGTTTTCTTTTCGCTTGCTGGCTGTGTTGTGTCAGTGCCTGTGATGCTCACACAGATGCTGGGTTTAACTGCTCCGATGTGGTGCTCGCCTGGCCGGGCGGTTTGTAGCTGCTGGCAGAGCTGTGTTGCTCCTAGAGAGGAGTCTGCATTGTGCTCCATGCTGCAGTGAGACTTAGCATCACTGAGCTGGGAGCTGCAAAGGCAGAATCTAAGAAAAACAGAAGTAGCGGGGAGTTTGAGTTGGGGGGGTGAAGGCAAATGAGCTTTCTGTTGCTAATTCCTTGGTGCTGTGCAGGTTGCAGTGTTGATGGCAATAGTCATTTGCTTTTAAGCTGTTATTTGAGTGTTGGTTTCACGGTGATGTTAAATAATGCCTGCTCCTTATTCCTGCTACATGCATCCCTTCTGTGTGCTGGTGCAGCTGTCTGCAGAATCTGGCCGTGAGCTGAGCTGGGGAATCTGTCTGGGTTGAAAAATAACAGAACAGTTTTTTCTGACAGTTTCTGGTCTAGCTCAGCTGCCTGATGTACCTGATGCAATGTCTGCTGTGTCGTGAGGAGCAGTGCCACAGGTATGGCAGCTCGGGTGGGTTGAAAGCACTTAAATAGGGACTGAGGCTAAAAAGCAGAGTGCTTCTTGTTTTCCTGTGCCTCCCCCTGCCCTACGCTGGCTGGGGCTTCTGGGGCCCCATGGGAGCTCACTGCTCACCTGTGCTGCTCGGGGTGGCTGTGGGAGCCTTACGGTCAGGTTTTGTTTCTCAGCCCCTTCCCATCCCTCTGTGTGCCTGCTGTTGCTGCGGCACAGCACTGGCAGCACCAGTAGGAAAGGGGAAATAACTGCTGTAACGCTGCTTGTAACCACAAAGTGGTTGACTGAAGGGAAGAGGTGACTTTTTGTAGGTAGGATCAATGTCTGGAATCACCTCTTCCAGTCACCACGAGACACAGTGTGGGGAAAGCTGGTGTGTGGGGTGCTGGCTGTGCTCACACCCCCTGGCTCTGAGCAGCCCATGCTGCTGCTTCCCAGTGCTCCAGCTGTGGGCAGCGGGGCCCCAGGAGCCTGGGCACACAGCAGGGGGCTGCAGTGCTGGAGGTGGGAGGGCAGTGTTTGCTGCCACGTGCTCCGGGTGGGGGGAGCCCCAACTGGTGTTGTGTAAGATGTGAAGACCCTCAGCTTAACCTGTGTTTCAGAAGTCCAGGCCTAGGATAGCAACAAGATTTGCCAGCTGTTACCATTCTACTGAGGGTGAGACTGCTTTAGGGTCTGCTGTGAGCTGCTGCATCTCCAGCACTTCTGGTACAGACCTGTGATGGCTGCTGCCCCGCGTCACCCGAAGCACAGCAGTGCTGCTTCACATCCTGGGGAGCTCCCATCTCTGGGGGCTCTGCTTTTGTCCAGGGCTCTTTTTTTTCTTTCAGGAGCAATACGTGTCAGGGTAGAAAGAGAAGGAATTACTTCTGCCCACTGGGGAAATGTGGTACTAATTAAGAAGTGCTTCTTCTAAGCCATAGATATTATTATATAATGTTTGGAGTTAAAAACAAATATAAATATCATATTTAAAAAAAAAAAAACAAAAACACAACAACACACAGATGCCTGCTTCCACTGATAACGCTTCACTGCAGCCCTGTGAGGTCCGTGTTGTGCTCAGTGATAACTTCCAGTGAACTTTCCCTGGTCTGTGTAACACAGTGTGCCGTGGGCACTTTGGGGAAATATTTTGGGTACAGGTAAGTATATCACACTCACTTTAATGTAATTGCAGGTTTGTTTATTCAGTGTTCCTGTAGCTAAATTATTCTTTCTGCAGGTAATTCGTGCTTTTGGTGTTTGGAACAATATTGCAGGGCTAACTGCTTTAATTTGAGGTGTGATCTGCTGAACATAACACTGTGTTGGTGTTTGCTGGGGCCGCAGCGCTTCCTTCGCTCCGGCTGCTGATGTCAAAGTGTTAAACAGCATCCAGCCTGGACCGTGGAAATCTATTGAGGGAATGCCTGGAAGTGAAATGTAATGAGGTGTGTTGTGCTGAACCACGCGCTTCTGTGCCGTGGCTGTTAGGGAGGAGAGGAATCCTACATCCGAGTCTGTCGGCAGCACTCAGTGACAATCTCAGCTTGGTGTATTTTGAAGCTTTTACTGCAGAGATGATTGTGCAGAGGTGGCAGTTGTGTCTGAGGGTGACAGCCAGCTCTTTGCTGCAGCTTCCTTCTAGCACACTTTCATGATACTTGCTCCTCAAGTGAGCTCTGTGTGCTGATCCTGCAGATCCGGACCTTTTGTCTGGGAGCACACACAGCTCTTCTGCTGCACCTTCACAGCTTTCTGAAACAAACCATCTCCAGTTCGCAGCTCTGGGTGGGCAGGGAAGGCTGAGTGCTGGAGGTGCTGTGAGGTGGGCTGTGCTGTTTTACCCAGAATTTGGTGAGCAATAATTCCAGGATCAATTGACTGCACTTTTTTTTTTGGTGTCTCCATTAAAGCTCTCTTTAATACACGCTGATGTAAGTTCTGTATTACTAGTTGCTAATGAGAGGGTAGTGAATTATTTTTCTGCAAACTTGATTTTAAAGCCTTCCCCGTTTGCGATGCTGCTCTTCCCAGGTTTGTGAACATGTGTGCCACACTCACTTTCTTGTGAGCACATCACTGTGCTTTGTAGTTGTGCAGCTGACAAGGGATGCTACATCGTTCTGCAGCCAGGGAGTGCCTTCATAGCAGGCCACACTGGGATCTGTGTATCTGTGGGCTGCCATCCCACAAAAAATTCATACAGATCCTTTAAAAATTCATCCCGAGTCCTTTATCATAGAGACTGCAGCTTGTAATTACCTGTGTGCCTTTCTTTGGAAGTCAGGACTGACGAGGACTGGATTGAGTTGGCTGATAGGTGGAAGGGAGAGCAGGTGTTCCAGCATCTCCGTGCTGTGTTCTGTGCCCAGTCCTGGCTGTGCATGGGAAGGAGGGATGGATGTCTGGGAGCTGTGTGGTCCTCTGCCTCTGAAGTAACACCACTGATGTAAAATTTTCCTTCCAGGTTGCTCTGATCTGTGCTTGAACCCCAGTAATGTCTGCAGAAACTGATAGAGGCCTTATTTGAGTGCGCTGGTAGCACTCTGGTTATTCCTGATACATAATCAGTGTTTGTCTTGGGCCAAATCAGGTCAGCAAGCATGAGAACAATTGATGACCTTTTCTTTATGATGTCTATAATGCATGGAAAGGCTTTCTTCAAGCTTTGTTGTCTCCTACCTACTTTTTCCAATACAATATGAACTGAGTGCTTAAACTTTTTCTTGTTGACCGTGTTTTCAACACCTGTTATCACCACCATCCTCTGAACTCCTCTTTGTGTACATTCTTGAACTGTAGCGCTTGAGATGAATGTGTGCTTCCACCCAAATTTGATTCCTATTCCATTCCTTATTGGAGTGGCTGAGTGAAGACCAGGACTTTCACCTTGCTGGTGGTACACCATGGCAGCCCCCACTGCTGTGCCCCCTCAGTCCACGCAGTGCCTGTCTGGGTGAGCAGCGTCTCACATAGCCTGCCTGTGCTTCTGCTGCAGGGCTTTTCAAATTGGCTTCAAGAATTTGCTCCCCTAAAAAGTTCTGCTCTGCTTCACGGTCTGGAGGTGTGGGGTGGTGGGTTTTTTGTTGGTTGTTTATTTTGGTGAGGAGAGGGAGAAAAGTAAGGGGTGTGTGTGTGTTGTGCTGCAGCCAGTGGGCATCCTTTGTGAGCAGTGGGAGCAGGGGTAGGGTGTGATTCTGTGTGCGGGCTGCAGTGCGAGTGGTGAAGTCAGTCGGCAGTTATTCCTGTTTGTTGTAATAAGAAAGCTGTTTGGTTACTGGTTAATAAGCATGAGTAGAGCAGTTTACAGGGCTGCCTTTGGTTGCCTTAAAGACCCCCCTGCTGGCACACTGCTGTGGCTCTCCTGGCTGCGCTCATCTCTCCACACCTTACTCACGTGTGTCTGTACTGCCACAAGGGATCAGGGCTGAGCTGCTGCCTTGCTCACATGGAGCACTTCAGGCCTGCCCACCCCTGGCAGTGCAGTGTTCTGCTGCGCTCTGACCTAACGCTGGTTTGATTCTGCCTTTGTGAGGCAGGGATGGGAAGGAATCTGGGTAGCGTTACCTGACCGTTGAATAAAAGCTAAGTGCAAGTAAAATGTATGCAGCCTGTTCAAACTTTCAGTTAGAGGTGGAAATTCTAAAGCTGGGGTAAGGCTGAGTGCCACACAGAGCCACGTGCTCAGGAGCGAGGGCTGTTCCTTCTGCAGTTGTTCTGCAGCACAAATTGCTGATCAGTTTTCCAAGTGTGGACTCCCAGTGAATTTCTCTGTTGTAGAAGGTGCTCTCAGGGGATGTCTTCAACTCATGCCTAAAGCATCTGTTCCTCCATTTTTAAGGGTCCCTTTCCCTAAATGCTATAGGAAGCACTCCTCCACCATTAACTGTGTCTTTTGTATGCCGGGGAATGTTTGAATTCCATTCAGCAAACTGACTTTCAAACGTTTTCAGAAATTCTGACTGAAGTAGTGCATGGTGTGCAGTGTCAATTCTGTGAATAGCATCTCGTGTTCCCTATCTTTAGACAACTTCATGTCACGTTGGGGGTAGGGGAAACTGTTAATAGATTGGCTGCAAAGGAACTGATCTAAATACCAGCAGATCGTAACCTGAATTCTCACTCTGATGTTTGTGTCTTTGAATAAATGACGTTGCAGGTTGCTGTTTGTGTGGTGTGATGCTCACGTCTGCGTCCAGTGCGTCCCTGTATGAGGTGCTAAATAAACACCATCCTGCTGCATTTCCACTGCGCCATTTAAATAAAGCCTACTATGAACAGCAGCTCTTCTCTTCTTAATTCTTACTCCATGCTTTGTATTATAATGCAGTGAAATAACTGTTACACAAGTGCAGTGTTGCGGGAAAGACTTGGTATTGATTGGAGGCTGCAGTCTGGGGCAGGATTGGTGCTTGGACACGAGCAAACTGCTGGAGAGCTTTGGAGAAGAGCGGGGAGGCTGTGGCTCTGTGGGAATGCTGCTGTCTGCCTGTCCATTTCAGCAGTGCTGGCCCTGTAGGGCTGTGTGTGGTGGCCTTCAGGAAAATGCTGAGGGTTGTCCCATCCTCGCGTGGTGGGGGCACCTGCACAGGGCTGTGCTTGGGGCTGGCAGTGCGCAGCAGGAGCAGCAGCCACGTGCAGCTCTGTGGGTTCTGTGCTGTGCAGGGAAGAGCCCAGCGCTGCTGGTCCTGCAGTGCATCCCCCTTCCCAGACCTGCTTTTGTCCTTCTTAAACCGCTGCGTGGAGCTCACCTGTTGGTTATGGGATTGGTCTCAGCGTGTAACAGTAAAATAGGATTAAGATGGCAATTAAAGAGCAGAAATTCCACTGTTTGAAGCTTTCCACAGTTTAGAAACCCGTGCTGTTGTCTGAGACTGCGGTGAAAGCATTTACTGCTGAACTTGGAACAGATCTGACACAGCAGCAGTGAGCTCCAGCGTACGGCTGAGCGGCACAGGGAGACCTGCATGGAATAAATAAGATTTGTTTTCCGTGACTGTCATCAGGGTTGGCTGGAAAGGATTACTGGGGATGACTTGGAGCAGATGTTCCCCAGTAAACTTGGAGTGAATTAACCCGGACCAGTCAGCCTTCACCACACGGGAACAGCATGGGGTCATTTGGAATGCAGTGTGAATTATTTGTAGTTGTTTGCTGCCGGGTCCTGGGATTGCTTTGTGGGAGGCTTTGTTTTGGGGCAGCAGTGATGGGTTGCAGTGGAAGCAGACAAAGGCAAAATAGAAATGAAAGCAATGTGCAAGTTGGAGGCACGGAGTTGTGCAACTGCGCTCTTGCACGGTCTGCAGAGAGGTTGCCCAACTCCCCCTCCACTGTGCTGCTGCTTTGCCTGCTGTGTGCCAGTTAGCGTTTCTAATAACTGTGTGTGAATAAATGCTCCTTCCTGCTGCTGCTCACAATCGGGTGATGTCCTGACAGGTTTGGTAGCTTTGTGCTCCTGTCAGTTGTGTGACAGTGTGAGTGTTCTGAAGCCAGTAACTGATGCTCTAAGGGAAGGCCCTGCTGTGCGGTGTGGATGCGCTGCTGTTACCTCCGTAGGTGCCTTCATCTTAAAAAGGTGGCACTTGAGGCCTTTGGGAGCTTCTGGCGGCCTTGTTTTTTCGTCACAGCATTCAACTGTACCACGAGAGATTTCGCTCTGTATTATTTTGAAATCTCTTTGTGTCAGTTCGGGTGAAGCACTCCAGAATGGCGACCCCAAACTTGTGGGGGAGGATGGAAGTTGTTGATGGAAGTTGTTGCTTTTCTTTTTGAGGGAGAGCCCAGCTTTGTGTCACTCAGAGCACGAGGAGAGCAGGAGCTCCTGCAGTGTTTGACTGTTGGCACTCCTTGCACTGAGCGCTTCAGCACGACAGCGTTTCCCATTGGTTGCAGATGCGTGAAGAATCCCAAAAGGCGTCCTGTGCTGCCCTATGGCTGAGCTGTGGGCACAGGCTGTGGTGTGAGGCAGCTTCTGCTGTCAGAATTGGCACCGTGTTGTGTCAGAGGAGGGAATGGAGCATCTATCAGACGTGGCGTGAGCCTGGGCTCTGGTTGGCGATGGAGGTTTGGGCACAACCATTGATATCTTGGTATTCTAAAACAAAGGCAAAGCAGTTACTGGAAATTCCCTGACCAATTTCATCTTGCTGTAGGTGTGTGTATATATGATTGTATTGCTTTTCCCATCTTTACCTTTTGATAAGTCCCTTTTTTGCCATCAGTTTGTCATTGAGCTGCTATTTGGGGATTACCAGTAACTGTAGAACTGATTGTCCCGATTACTGACGTGTTCAATGCTCAGAGCCTTCCTGCACCCCTGTAACTCCTGTTCTGAAAGATGTGTTGAGAAAGAGAACATCATCAGCTGTCCTAAATGCTCTGATTCTAGAAGCTTTGGGGGAGCTGAGTGGTGTCATGTGTCAAAGTGCATTCTTAAACCATCCTTTCTGGGCACTGAAGGAGTGCAAGGATCCACTCTTACAGTCAGTGCCCTGAAATGAAATTCTGAGTGCTGAAATACATCGTGTGCTGTTGCTGCTTTAAACCTTCAGAGGAGCATTCCCAGCCCTGAGCTGGGCGGTGGGGCTTCAGGTATCTGCAGGGGCATCCAAGAGAAATTCAGCTTTGGTCGGCAGTTGGTTTTACAACCTGAGTTCGCATCACTCAAAGCCTACATGGACTTAAAAAAAAAAAAATACTTTGGATAAAAAATGACTCAAAATCAGGGAAAGCATTTCATTGTTGGCAGCTTTATCCAAGGCAGTCCTGGTAAAGCCTGGGACTGGCAGAAGGGTGGGGGTGGTGTGGAGGAGCTGAGCCCCACACGCTTCCCCTCTCCTTACAAAGGAGGTGGCAGTGCTGCGGGGTGCAGCTCTGGGATCCCATGGGATCCTCACAGAAGTTCTGTGGCAGATTTTCCACGGGTGCCGTTCGTGTCCAGTTGAGTCACAGTGCAGTTAAGCAATAAATGAGGTTCAGTGATTCATGTTTTCCTCCTCTTATCATTTAAATCCATCTACAAAGGTGAGTTAGAAATTCCAGGTTTCAGTGCCGTTAGCGTCAGGTAATGGAAACGAGGATCTGAGTTCTGTCAGAACGTTTTAATTTCACACGTGGGTCTGCAGATCTGCTCTGCCTTGCACACAAATGTTGCAGTGAAGCCCATCAAAAATCTGCGATGTGCTTTGTTAATGTAAAATGGGTTTCTGACGTTCTGCTCGCTGCCTTACAGACTCGTGCAGTGCCATTCCTGCACCATGCAGCCTTTCAGGCTGCCGGAGCCGGGTGTCTGAGGACCCCTACCGGGCACAGCCTGCAGCGCTGCGTGGGGTTGGGGCAGTTTGTTCCTTGGTGTGACTGCAGGAACAGTTTGAGCAGAATTAAACAAAGGAGACTTATGTAAGTGTAAGGCAGTGCTTAGAGCTGAATTCTGCGGTTCTGATTCCACTGGTTGCTCTGCTCAGTCCACTTAATGCTTAAGTTTCCTTTTAGGCTGTAGGACAAGTAACTGATGCCTTGACTGAGGGCTGAGAACTTTCCTGGTTAGCTCACTGATTTTTTTTCTGCTATTTCATTTGGTTTTATGTAAGTGTGTGTTTGTTACAGCTCCTTCAGTTTCCAACTAGGTCAGCAAAGTGTCCTTGTCCCTATTTTTTGAACAGTCTGCTCCCTAAAGCTAGACAATGTGACAGCAATTTTGTGATTAATGTTTCCAGCAATTATAAAGAAGAAGGTCTTAAATCACATTTGATAACTGAGACCTGTACATGAAATGTGCAGTGACTTTGTCTTCCTTATTGCAGATCCATAACATGGTGGCAGTGCTGGAAGTGATCTCCAGCCTGGAGAAATACCCCATTACCAAAGAGGCACTTGAGGTACGTCGCCATCTGAGCATCGCTTGATTTTCTTGTGTGAATAAAAGGACTTTTTCTGCCTGTCTGATTTCCATAAGAGCTTTCCTTGAAACAATGGATTGATTGTGGAGGATTCACGATGAAGGTGTCATCATTTCCCTCTCATGCTGCTTCTGCCATCTCTGTGTGCAGCACTTCTCTCTGGGTTCAGCTCGGTGTGCTGTGCAGCCTGGTTCCCGTTTGTGTAAGGCTCTGTATTAATCACGACTTGCTGCTTATCACGATGCTTCCTTTCGCTTATGGAACCATGTTGGGACATCTTAGGAAAGCTCATCTGTTGGCCTTTCAAGATAGGGAGCAAAGAGGGAGGAGGCAGAGGAGGAAGATAGGACATAAATCACACTTTAATTTGTACAGTGGAGATTTATATTGGCCTGTTACAGCAACATGTGGACAAGATGCTGGATTTTCAATGCTCACCTCTTGGGTCTCAGGTTCATCGTAATTCGTGCACTTTTTCCACCCTGGATGCTGCAGTTCCCTCACATCAGAGCTTTCACCTCTGTTCTCAAAATTCTTGTGGATTTAAAAATTCCTTTCTGATGTTTTCACAGCTGATGGCTCTGGTGCCTTAACCAGGGAGGAAGGAAGGGGTGGCTTAAAACCAGCAGTAGGTGTCGTGCTGTGTGGCACAGCATAGAACAAGAGGGGTTAACCCTTCCAAAAAGATTAATTCAGCTCTTGCATCTCTAGCATTTTGTACTAGGCATTTCTTAGGGTAAGCATTAGAAAGCAGGAATTTACCTTAAAAAAGGAGTTAGAATTTTGTTTCGAATGATACTTGTTTATAAAACAACTTTTTTTTTTTTTTTTTTTCTAGGAAACAAGGCTTGGGAGGCTTATCAATGAGGTGAGGAAGAAGACATCCAATGAGGAACTTGCCAAACGTGCCAAGAAATTGTTGCGGAATTGGCAAAAGTTGATAGAACCTGTGACCCCGAGCGAGGCGGTGCCAAGAGGGCTGCAGAATCCGCCCGGATCGGCCAACGGCGGTGCTCACAACTGCAAACCAGAAGCGCCCCTTCCTGCCGTGGCTGGGTCAAAACCCATCAGTGAATTGAAAAGCAGGAACGATATCCAGAAACTGAATTCTCCAAAACCAGAGAAATTGGGAAATCGGAAAAGGAAAGGTGAACATAGGGATGGGCATCAGGGCCCTCCTCCCCCGAAAGTCTCCAAAGTTAGTCATGAAATATTACAGAACTCTTCACCCCCTCCAACAAACGGAATTGGAGGTAGTCCCAAGAATTTTCCTAGTCCTGTAGATGTAAATCTACATGCAGGGCCTGAAAGCAGCAGGACAGAACTTAGCGAAAACGATAAACACAATAAGATCCCAGTAAATGCTGTAAAACCTCACACCAGTTCTCCAGGACTCGTAAAACCTTCAAGCACTTCCTCCTTATTAAAGACTGCAGTGCTTCAGCAGCATGATAAATCGGAAGAAACCTCCGGGTCGCACCAACCCAAGAGTCCGCGCTGCTCCTCGTTTAGTCCCAGGAATGTCAGGCACGACGCGTTTGCGCGGCAGCACACCACGTACTCACCAAAGGATTCCATGCCTAGTCCATCTCAAAGGTCTCAGTTCTTAGACACTGCACAGGTGCCGTCACCGCCGCCATCCTTGATGCAACCATCAACACCTCCGATGCCAGCGAAAAGACTGGAGTTCTCTCAGCAGTCGGTATCTGAGGTGTCCCAGCACTGGCAGGAGCAGCAGGCGCCTCCTGACAGCCAACACAGGCACACAGCAGGGACGCTTCCACAGCACACGTCTCCCGGTTGCAAAACCAGCTCCCACCCGGGGGAATCTCTCGTGTCGCACGTCGGCTTTTCGCAGGACGCTTCGAAAATGGACAGTGATGATGCTGCTTCAGGTTCAGATAGCAAAAAGAAGAAAAGGTACCGACCTAGAGACTATACAGTCAACTTGGATGGGCACGTGACAGAAGGGGGTGTGAAACCTGTGAGATTAAAAGAGAGAAAGCTCACTTTTGATCCCATGACAGGACAGATAAAACCTTTAACACCGAAAGATCCTTTGCAGGTAGAAATCCCTGCGCTTACTGAACAGCACAGGACAGAAACGGAAAAGCAGGAGCAAAAACCCAACCTGCAAAGCCCCTTTGAACAAACGAACTGGAAAGAATTGTCCAGAAACGAAATAATTCAGTCATATTTAAACAGACAGAGTAGCTTGCTGTCTTCATCAGGAGTACAGACTCCAGGAGCTCACTACTTTATGTCTGAATATTTAAAGCAGGAGGAAAGCACTAGAAAAGAGGCTAGAAAGACTCACGTTCTAGCTCCTAACAGCAAACCTACAGACTTGCCTGGGGTCACGAGGGAGGTCACGAGTGATGATCTCAACAGAATACGTGAACATAACTGGCCAGGCGTGAACGGTTGTTATGATACACAGGGTAACTGGTATGATTGGACACAGTGCATATCTTTAGATCCACACGGGGATGATGGTAGATTGAACATCCTGCCTTACGTCTGCCTAGACTGAGTACAGGTTTGCTAAGATGCTTTTACGTTTGCAGTTAGCAAGAATGGCAGACACTATGCCACTTAAAGATGGAGAAAGCCTCCTGTCCTGGACAAATAGGCCCAACGAGCAGAGGGTGAGAGGGAGCTGCTTCTGTACAGCTCTTCCCTTTAAATTCTCCTTTTGTGAAATGCTGCTACCAGTTTACTAACAATTGCAAAGGAAGGCATACGAAGGTTGAGAAAACTGAGTTCAAAACTCTATAGCAAGCCAGCTATAAAAAGTGTTAGTCCCCAAAAGCGAAGATGATTTCCAGCACTTTCTGAATGCCGGAATCTGACTACAGGCAGGTACAGAGAAAATTGTGGAAGTTACCTTAACAAAATATGCATCTATTTATTTGACTTGATTTGGGTTTTTATTTGGCAGTGAGATATTCAAGAGACGATGTGCAAAAACTGTAGTTTTATTTGTATCGCATCTCTGAACATGATTGTGTTTTTAAAGTCATGTGGTACGGAGATTGGGTTTTAAACAGCAGGTGTTGCACTGCAGGCTGGGAGACCAGCTTCAGCTCAACATTCCATGGGCATCCACATATTTCAGTCTGGTTTCAGTTTAAATCCAGTCTCTGAGAAATGCTGCAAAAACAGATGTTTAATGACATTTTGATCCCACCACCACCAGCCAAATATTTTTCCTCCTTTTCCCTTCCTGCAAACTTCTAGGAAAAAAAATAAAAAAAAAAATCACCTTTTCTAGAACTTAAATGTAACGAGGGTGCTACAAGTTCGTAACTGTACTGTGAGAGGGAAAAAGGAAGCCTGTTTGTATGCTGGAAATATACTTGTTACCATTCCTTTAGATATTGTTTGCCTTATGGATATCCATCATAAACGCAATTTGCAAAAACAAAGAGCCTTAGTGAATGTACAGTACCTAGACTTCTGTGTTCCTGGGATGCAGAAGGGAGCAACTTTGCTATTTGGTCCTTTAAGTGGACACATTGTGATATAAATGTGGAAATAAAAAAAATTTGCACAAAGCAGTTTGTGAATTATTTATACTGAACTAATTTATTTTTAAAAATCTGCTCAATTCAGACAAAGTAACAGAACCCATCGGAGCCGTGCGGCGAGGCGCAGCCCAGCAGCAGTGCCAGGCGCTGCTGTCAGGGCGCAGAGATGTCTTCCAAGTGTGTTGGTGGCGTTTGGTCACACAGGTTGGATTGTTTTTAACTCTGGTTGCATCCAGGGGTGAGAGACTGATGACACAATTACTGTTAATGTACCTCAGAGTCTAAAAAATTGTAGTTCATCTTGGTAATTTTGTAATATATTATTCCTAATTGTTAAAAATATTTCTAAAGCAGCCTAATTCAGAATTCAGTACAGAAAGCTCAGAATTTCTATTACCTGTATTTGCTTTAACGTTTGGGACAAGCCGTTTTCTACAGTCCCCGCTGCTGGACTTCTGTCCAGGGAAGAGGGGAGGGGACACCAGGGATACCAAAAAGGTGCTGAGGTTCAGTGCTGTTCGTTCTGTGAACTCATCTGTGCTGAGTCTCACTGCCGTGGTAAAAGTAGTTCTGCCTTTGAGAGCGGAGTCAAAGCTCTTCACCGTCAGTGTGATTTTAGAAGTGTTCCTCATGCGTTGCTTTGGTTTATTCCATGGAATGCAGCCGGAAACATTTGGGTTGTTTTTGTCATTCTTGTTAAAACCTGCTTTTGTGGTTTGACTGGGACTGCAATGTGGGCATCTCAGAAATCTTACTGGCGTTTGTTTGCTTCTGTTTCTGAAACCCGAGGACTGCGTGAAATCTAAAAAAAAAAAAAAAAAAAAAAAATTGGTTACCAAAAATTTTTCCAAGTATATTTTCAGTTTACTTCCATTTTATCCTCTGCAGTTGATGAAATCAGGCAGTGTTTTTTAGAGTTGCAGAAAGTTGCTGTCAGGAAGGTAGCTGTGATGGCAGAGGGCTCAGAAGTTGCTCACGTTGGGAAATGTTTATTTTCTGTTTTATGTTTAAAAAGAAAAAAATTTTTTAAAAATGTGCATTTTATTCAAACCCTCCCCAACCCCTCCTCCCTCTTTCCCCAAATGGTCCTATTTAGGAACAGGGTCTGTGCCCTTTTGAGGCCTTTGAATGTGGGGCAAATTTCAGGAAATTACGAAGTACACTTTATAAAAACCATCCTTTACTTTCAGTTGCTTACATTTCTGCTGCAGTCGATGGCCCGGAAGGTCGAGTGATGTCCTGAGTCCCTTGGCTGCTCTCCATAGCAAACCGGCCGTGCCGATGCTCGCTTTGCTTGAGGGAGCTCCACGTGCTGGACGCGGCCCTTCCCCCGGTGCTGCAGGATCTCCAGGGACATCACGTGATTTGCAGCGTGAGCTTTAACTCCCGTTTGTTTCTGCTGTGAGGGTCAGCTCGCTCGGATGTGATCTGGGGTGAGACGAGGCTCGACAATCTTTATTTCAGCATGCTTCTATAACCAGTTCTGTGAGCTCCAAAAAATGTGAATAAGTTTACAAGGTGATTTTGTCAATTTTGTAAACAAGTTCAAATGAAGTTTACCATGTGCATATCTGCTGTGTACTCTCATTTTTGCATGCTTAGTTTCTCTGCTCCTGGATTCTCCCGCTCTGCACAATTTATTCTTTTAAAGTCTAAAATGAACACCGCCCTCTGCAGCGAATGACACGGAATGGTTTTGGGAATCGCCGTTACCTCAGGTGCCTGTTTTTAGAGGTACATAAATGGCGTAGAACGTCTTTTGAAAGAGCGGATGGAGGATCGTCCTCCTCCCACGGGTTCTGTCCCTGCACTCCCAGCAGCTCCCTGAGGTGGTTTTAAAGGCCTCGAGGGCTCCTCTTCACTGCGCTCTGCTCGGGCCCGATTTGGCTCCGCTCTCAGGCGGTGCAGATCCGCACTGCTCTTAGGGCCGCTTCTGCGGCTCAGGAATCCCACTCGGTGCGGTGTTTCGTACGCCGCGTATCTCCCCGGTTCCTTCATCCCGGGCTGCGCCTGTGGGGCGGGACGGACGGGGCGCAGCGGCTGTCAGAACGGAGCGCCGAGGCGGAGAGTTCCGGTCTGAGGGCGGCCCGTCCCCCAGCGACCAGAAGTGGACAGAGGAGCCGGAAGTGACGTGAAGAAGTGATGCAAGCGGAAGTGACGCACACACGCTCCACCGCCCCCTGTCGGCACCCGTAGTGCTGTGCCGGCGCTGAGCTCCGGCGCGGGTCCGCCCCAGGAAGCGACGCGTTGGCGGCGGTGACGTCCCGGGGGCGGCCGTGCGGCTCGGGCAGCCATGGCGGCGGCCCCGCTGGCGGCTCCGGGAGGAGGCGGGGCGGCGGCGGCAGCGGCGGGGGGGGCCGGGAGCCGGAGGGGCCGCGGGCCGGCGCTGCGGGAGGGCGCGCGGGTTTCGGCGCTGTGCTTGGCCTGGTACGGGCTGAGCGCCGGCGGGAACGTGGTCAACAAGCTGCTGCTCGGCGGCTTCCCCCGGCCCGTCACCGTCTCGCTCTTCCACATCCTGGGGCTGTGCGGACTCCTCCCGCCGCTGCTGCGCGCCTGGCGGGTCCCGCCGGCCGGCCCGGCCCAGCTGCCGCCCCGCGCCTACCCGCGCTACATCCTGCCGCTCGCCTTCGGCAAATACTTCGCCTCCGTCTCCGCGCACGTCTCGCTCTGGAGAGTCCCGGTCTCGTACGCGCACACGGGTGAGGCTCCGGGCGAAAGTGGGGGTGCGCGGGGCGGCGGTGCCGTCCCGTGGGGCGCAGCGGGAGCGCGGATCGGAGAACGGTTTGTGTTGGAGGGACCTGTAGAGACCTCCCGGTCCGACTCCCTGCCGTGAGTGGGGACAACCGCAGCTCCAGCGGGTGCTCGGGGCCTCCTCCTGCCTGACCCAGGCGTGAGGCACCCGGCGCTCCTCCGGGCAACTTGTGCCAGTGCTTCACCACCTTTTTTCCTCGTGTCCAGTCTAAATCTTCCCTCTTTTGGTTTGAAACTATTTCCCCTCGTCCGCGCCCATCGGGATGCCCCAAGGCTGCGCGCACTGCTGCCGCTGCCCCTGTTGTCACCTGAAGCGCGCTGTGTGCTCGCAGTGCTGCCTGCTGCCGTGTCTCCCATCAGCTGTGCCTGTAGGAGCCCGGTGCGGCACTGCGGGGTGCGCTGTGTGTTCATGTGGGTGTCCGGCGTGGTGCCCTGTCCCTGATGTGTGCTCACAGTGCTGCGGTGTCTGTGTGGCTGCCTGCCGCAGCACCCTGTGTCCTGGTGTGAGCTCACAGCAGTGCCTGCTGTAGGGTGGAGCACTGCATGCTGCCCTGTGATGGCACAGGGGTGAGGGGTGACCCCGTGTGGGCTGAGGTTGGGGTTTTGTGGGACTGAACCTGAGCCCCTCCATTCCTAGTGCTCACCTTCTGCTGATGGTGTTTAATGGAGTTGGCTTCGCATCCCCACCGAAATTTTCTTTCCCTTCTCAGTAAAAGCGACGATGCCAATATGGGTGGTTCTTCTTTCGCGGATCATTATGAAGGAGAAGCAGACGACGAAGGTGCGGACAGGTTTGCTGAGGTTTCTTCTCTTGCTGGTGTTTGTGGTGTGCTTTGCTCGCTGGGATCGGGGAGGTTTGGGTGAATGTTGTGACTAGGATTGCACCGGGTGGATTTGCCACGTTCTCTGTTCCTTTTGCAGGTGTACTTATCTCTTATTCCCATAATAACCGGTGTCCTGTTGGCCACGGTCACTGAACTGTCCTTTGACATGTGGGGACTCATCAGTGCACTTGCTGCTACTCTGTGTTTTTCACTTCAGAATATCTTCTCAAAGAAGGTAACAGTTTTGCCGTTCTGTGATTCATTGGAATTTTTGGTTGTTTCTGTTGGCAGCTGATAGTGCTTCGCTGTACCAGTTCATTATGTATCTTGCTGTGTCGTATCATTTCTTCATACTGAATGAGTCAGTGTGAGCACTGGGCACTCCTTGAAATTGTAGGAACAAAGAGACAAAGTTAGAAGGTGTGTCTTGAGTGTATTCCAAAATGAGTTCTGGTTTGTGGGACATCTTAATGTGTACGTTGTTAATCCTGGGAGAGTTGCCAGTCAAGAAACCACTTTTTCAAAGAGAAATCTGTTTTCTTTGGTTGTCCTCATTGGAAATTCACACCATTCATTTCCATGCTGTAACTGTCGGTTGCAGGAAGTTGTTATTATTACAGGGAGAACAGGGGGTGGTTGGGCCACAGCTGTAATGTGTCCTCCATCAGGTGTTGCGGGATTCCCGAATACATCATCTTCGGTTGCTGAACATCCTGGGGTGCCATGCTGTGTTCTTCATGATCCCAACGTGGGTTTTGGTTGATCTTTCTTCCTTCCTGGTAGAGAATGACTTGGTAAGTGTCGCTTTTGGGAAACTCTCGTCTATTAAGATAAAAGGGGAAAAAAAACACGTAAAAAAAATGTTCACTTAGGTAGTTCCTCATCAGTGTGGAAGGATCTGTTGTGAAATACCTGCAGATTGTTTCACAAAAACCACAACCAACGAGTGTGGTGTTTCTCATTAGAATTCATGGCAGGGTGAGGAGTGGGAGCCAATGTGACAGCTGAAGTCCCAGGAAGTAGAGCTGGAGACAGGAGGACACGCAGCTGGAGTGCAGTGCTGTGTGCAGGGGATGCGTTATCAGAACTGGTAGCTGCGTGTTTGGTGCCTCTGTAGAGAAGTTGTAGATGTAGGCAGGGAAGAAGCGACTCGATTATTTCTGTTACTTTCTCTCAGGTTTCCAATAGGCGACAAATGTATGTAATTGTAACGTTTGTTGTTATGACAGAGCACAATGTCTCACTGGCCCTGGACCTTGATGCTGCTTATAATCAGTGGGTTCTGTAACTTCGCCCAGAACGTCATTGCCTTCAGTATTCTTAACCTGATCAGCCCACTGAGTTACTCTGTCGCGAACGCCACCAAAAGAATCATGGTGATCACTGTGTCCCTTATAATGCTTCGCAATCCAGTCACCAGCACCAACGTCCTTGGGATGATGACAGCTATCCTAGGGGTCTTCTTATACAACAAGGTAAGTTGTTCATCTGTTTCTTTGTTTATTCAGGGAACTCACCTGAACCACTCTGGTGGCTTTGAACTGTTTTGTAAAGCAAGTTAACAGCAGAACAGAAATGAAGAATGTGTGATGTAGAACTTCACTGCATGGGAGTGCGTGGCTGAGTGCTCAGTGCTTGGGTCAGGCCAGCTGCTGGGTGTGACAGACTGAGATCTTAATATTGTATTGAAGAATGAGGATTAGTATCTCGCTAAAATGCCTTGAGCAAAAGCAGCTTCGTGATTTGTCATGTGAGGAGGAAGTGATTTTTATTAGGAGTCGCTCGTTTGAGACTCTCATAAATGTGGTGGTGTTTTCCCTATGTATATTTTGGGTGACACCTTAGAAAAACTTTCTTTCTTTCTTTCTCTCCTAGACAAAATATGATGCAAACCAAGAAGCAAAGAAGCAGCTCCTTCCAGTCACAACTGCAGACCTTGTGAACTTGGACCGGCACCGCAGCGCTCCGGAGAAGTCTCAGAATGGACTGACGGCGTTTGCCCCGCATGGAGACTATCAGTACGGCCGGGCCGGCGTCCTGGCTGAGCACTGCCAGCACAACCGACAGAGCTGCCCGCCCGCCTACAACTTCAACCGTTTTGATATATAGAATCCTGACACGCAGGTAGAGACTGTGATATTAAAGTGTCCCCAGCATTATCAGAAACTTTTAGTACATCCGTGAATGTAAAGCCATTTTATTGTAAAGTTTTGCAGAAGGGAGGATGCATGTGTAGTGAAAGTGGTACAGACCTTCAGCTTCTGCTGAGCAGATCTTTCAGTGTGAAGCAGCTGGATTGGACACCGGACCTGAATGCAGCGTAGCTCTCGTACAGGGATTCGGATGAAGTGCAGGTACAACATTTCAGAGCAAAGCATCTGCTGTCGCTGCTCCTTTTGGGAGTCTGTCAATCGGTTACCCTTTTGGCAGCTAAACCCTGGCCAGTACCTCGTTTCCACACTGATAGTGTCACTTTTAATTTGTTCTCTACTGTTTTAAGAACACTTACATGAAATTGTCAGGAAAAAAAGGGTGTAATTAGGCACACAGCTGGTGATCAGGATTTGCCCGCTTGGGAGGATTGTGTCGGTTGTGGATAAGGAGCCTGGAGTTCATCTTGAGCCAATATGAAACTTCATGCGGGTGTTAATTACCTCCATGCCTCTGCCTTCAGTTTTTGATGACAAACCAGAAGTATTTCTGAAAGAACAGACAGTAGAGATCCCTTCAAGAGATGCATTTAAAGCATAGAGAAACAGTTTTCTCTAAAATCATTGTTGTCCCAAACAGTGCAGATAGCAGAAAAGGAGACTGAGATCATCGTTGTTTTCTCAGTAATGCAGCCCTGTAAACTCAGACATTTTTCTTCCTTGGCAGTGCAGGAAACCCCTGACAAATAAAGCATTTCTAATAATGCCTTTTTTTTTTTTTTTTTTTTTTTTTGTGTGTGCTTTACACCTCTTACAAACCTGTCTTTGTGTCAGGAATTGAAAGGCTTAGGGTATTTTTGTCTAAGTTTTATGCATAAATTTTGCTCCCTAGTATGATTCACATTGTAAGAATGCATGAACGTGGTTAATAATTCTGCATTGTTTCTCAAATCCATCTTTTTGGCCCCTGATTGTGTTTTTAAGTTTCTTAATTAGTGGTGCTTGAGCTGCTGTCACGTTGTATCCTTCTCTGTTCCTGCGACTCCCCTGGCTCAAATAGTAAATTCAGAAAGGAAATATTGAAATCAGCAGTAAGCATAGAATCTGTGGCTCATAAGAACTGATTCAGGTGGTATAAATGAAGACACCAGGTTCAAGACAAGTGGATTTCAGTGCATCAGGCGCCACATTTGTGCATGGAAGGAATGAAACCAGTGGAGTTCTGGTTTCACTGAATCAGATTATTATTATTATTATTATTACTGTTACTTGAGGGGAAAAAAAAACCAGGTTTTAGGGGCCTTCTTTTCTTAACGGAAAAGCTGTTGTACAGTGAGATTTTGATAGCATAAGTATTGTGTTTTTACTAGAGATTGT